GTTCAAAGGCACTCAAATCACCTTTCTTCCCCATACTGATGCTCGGTTTGAACTGCAGGAGATTGTCTTGACCATGTCTACATGCTTAAATGCACCGAGTTGCCGCCATGTGATTGGCTGATTAGAAATTAAGTGTTAACGAGCAGTTGGACAGGTGTACCTAATAAAGTGGCCGGTGAGTGTATGTGTGTGTTTGTTGTTTTGATGGTGTTTTACAGCAGCTGCCTGTCTCTCCATGCAGAAGGAGATAGCTGAGGGGAAGAATGGACGGGAGCATGCGAGCGACCTGCCCTTCCCTCACTGGATCTGCCAGCCATATGTCAGACCAGAGTGAGTCATTGAGATCTGCTTCTACAGTTCATCTTATTCATTAGTGCTGTTGATGTGAGCTCGTCAGGAATCAGAAGGATGTATTACAAATGTGTTGGGAGCAACATTTTCCCAGGGACTTGTTACAGGATGCATTGCATTTATTAGTAGAGCTAACCCTAACAGAGCAGAGACACTAAAGCACTTTACACCAAAGCAAAGCAAGAATAACTAGTTTAGATGAAATGATCTGCTTGTGTTTAAATCAGCTGTGTGGGAAAGTTTCATCAYTGCTAATTACAGCAGCAGACAGTGATGACAGGTGCATCAGATGAAGCATTGAAATACTGCTGCAGGTTATTTATGTATTTATTTAATATCAGACATTCTCCTACAGTAGCACTTGGCCAACTAAGAAACTAAGAGTGAGGTTTTAACATTTTTATAATTTTGTATCTTCACATTGGCTGTTATTTGTTTTTTATTCATGCTTTTTGTTTTGCATCACGTCTAGATCAAATTATTTTGAACAAATGCACCTTGATATCTGTTTTTCAAACATTTCTTTTTGTTGTTGTTATAAGGCCTATAGGACATTAACAGACATGTCTATAATCTAAGTAACTTATTGGATTCAGCAGGTTTCATCAGAGGTACTTAAAAATAACTAAGGAAAAATAAAAATACCTTTACATAAAATGACTTTGGTAAAAATTCATCTCACCGATAAGAAAAGTTCTTATGTAAAAGTTATAAAACTGCTGACAATAATACGTAAAGTAAAAGAARTATTTTTACCCACAATCTAAAAAATGAAGTGTTGAATTTACTTAACCAAACTGTTTCCACTAAACTGAGTTGAGTAAATTGATTAATTTACACATTTTCTTATAAAGAAAACATATAAACTGCTTTACATTTACTCAGTTAGGTTTAGTGAAACCAGTTTGGTTAAGTAAATTTAAACACTTCATTTTCTAGAGTGAGTGAACAACTCTTTCCATGATGAGTTTGGTCGTAGTTAAATTTGTAACGTGTAATTTAGGTGTTGAATTTTAAAGGAAATAAGTAAAAGTATATTTTTATGTTTTGAAAGTAACAAAATATATGTAAACTTGTGATTAAAAATACTTGATAAAATTATAAATCTTCAAAAAAAGCAACRCTTTCCTTTACGGTACCCTTATTACCATGTAATTACATGGTAATTAGAGTACAAAAGAAAAATTACTGTTAGTAAAACTACCTTTATTGGGTAACTACAATCAAATTACTATTCAATAGTAACTCAACACTATATTTATAACCAAAAGAATGCAACTAAATTTTGGGGTTAGTRGTTAATTGCAATAAAATATAACTGTAAAACTGTCCAAATTACCTACTACTTATTTAGGTATTACATAGTGAATTGTAATACATTACCAGGTAAGTGCTACATTACTGCAGACTAGTAATTACGTAGTAAAAGTGTACCCTAATTACCACGTAATTACATGGTAATAAGGTAGTAATTACATTTAATTACCATTTTGTTATTAACTTGTAATTACATGGTAATAAGGGTACCGTAAAAGAAAGCGTTACCAAAAAAATAAAATAAAAAAATAGGGGCTATAAAATATAAGTACTCTAAAGCAGTGTTTTCCAACCCTGGTCCTCACGGCGCACTGCCCTGCATGTTTAGAGGTTTCCCTGCTTCAACACAGATGATTCAGATGATTACAGTTCAACAAAAGCCTGTTAATCAGATATGAATTGACATCAGCTATGTTGAAGCAGGGAAACATCTACAGCATGCAGGGCAGTGTGCCTTGAGGACCAGGGTTGAAAAACACTGCTTTAAWGAAGTAAATATTTTTAGTTACTATGCACCTCTGGGTTTCATTGATAACTATAAATGAGTATCCTCGTTATGGAAATATATTGTGTACTGCCTAATAATGTTACCTAATAGAAGTATRTACTGTACAAATAAAAAGTATGGTCCAACCACTGCACCCTGAGGAACTCCATAAATTGGTGTAAGAACAGGATTCATTATTAGCATGAACAAATTTGCAATTATTAGATAATTGTTATTTAAACCGTCTTAGAGTTGTTCCTGTAATCACAAATCTGTTCAAGCCTCTGTAATAGAATATTCAAATATTATGATATATATTATAGATATAATACACTCCATTTATGAAGCCAGTTGTCACAGTTTTTCTACTTTCACCTGCCAACACTCTACAGGCCGAAGCCTCAGATTACCAATGGTTATTGTTGGGGGTCAAAGGTGAAGGAAATGTTGTGCCAGAAGAGGGAGCTGGAGAACGTAGACGGAGCAGCTGACACCCTCTCCCAAAATAAACAGGAAAAAAGATCCTGCAATCCCCACAAAACCTTCAGTCCTGATCAGAAACGTGAGTTTTTCTCCRCTTCTCATTTTCTCATTTCAAGCTGAAGCACAACTGACCAGTAGAAGAAGAAATCTGACTACTTTTTTATCTTTTTGTAGCCAAATACCTCAAATGTGAACAGTGTGGCAACCCAAAGGTAAGAGTCAGTTGAAGCTCTGTGGTTTTCATGTGATGAAGACTCGWGAAACGATCTCCATTTTCTCAAATAATACCAGTTTCTGCACTAAAGACTATATGTTTTGAATGATTTAGTGCCAGTTGTCTTATTGATTAATTCATAAACAATATGTTAGTTTTTCAGTTGAGTTTGTCTCTTTTATTTTGTTGTACAGGGAAATAAATGTGTCTTCAACCTGTGTCGAGCCTGCTGTAAGAAGAAGGCTTTTAAAGAGGTGGCAGACTGTCAAAGTTAGTACACTCAACACAACTACACACATGGAGGACGGGGTTTTTTAAGTATATTTTACAAAATGTGCCGACAGGTCCTGATCATTAAGCTAAAATCTCAAAGGGCTGCAGCTGTTGGTGGCGAGTTGTTGAATGTAGAGTTTAGGCCTAAAATATCCGACCTGACCTGGTCCAAGCCTATAAACAGTGTGTCCAAGCCCGATCCAACTGAACTAATTAACTCTTAGAGGCCCGAGCCCAGAGTAAGCTTTACATTTAAAAATGTATAATGCTATCCCTAATTTCACACAGATTTCAGGATTTTTCAGCACTTGCAGTATACCCTGTGGTGTGAACAGATTATTAACACGCCTGTGGGTGTGTTTGTGRCTGCAGATCACAGGCTGCCAAGAAGCAGCGTAAAATTCTAGAACAGTCTGATCCGACAGCCGAAGCTGGTTGTTATATTAGCAAGATGGACAGCTTCAAAGAGCAGCTCGTCTGGTTTTATTGACCGTGCCACTGATGCCCTCGCCTTCATTTCATCCCTGCTCCACAGTTAACAAAATAAAAAAGTTTTTCCTCCTCTGATGCCAGTGCGGAAAAAAAAACTGCTATTTTTAATTTGCTTATCTATGCTTGTAGTATTCTACAGCAAGAGGACAGAGGGAGAAATTATAAGATTTTATTACCGCAACACAATTTTTCAGTTATATACAAGAGAATATTGTAATTTATTGTGGTARTACACTAGAAAAAAAAGTCAAAATTTACACCTGTGTATAAAAGCTACTACTCTCAAATTTTATGGGTGATATTTGGGGTTAAATATTCTTGCATTATACATGCATAAATCTGGCAGATTAACACAACTTTAGATTGTGCGTCCTCGTTTAGTTTTCTGTGCTAAATGTATTTTAGACTTATTAAAACTGAAACCTGATCATCAAGCATGTAATTTTGTCCTGACGTCTTACTATAAATCTGAACTCTAGYTGAATGGCATTTATGAGCAGAAATCTCTAGAATATCTCAAAACCTTCACAGGGCGTGCCATTGTCTTGCCTGAGTCTCAGATGCTGGCAGCCTTGTTTGAGTTTTGAACATGTTCACAAACTAAAATCATTTAATGTTGAACGGGTGTGAGATTTTGCATAAGGATATTTTGAAGATGAGTCTCAGCTACTACCATGCCAAATTTAGCTCCATATTTAGAAAAACCTGTCATGAGTTATTTTGTGTTGCATTTGTATTTATTTGTGACTCCTTCAGAGAAAAGGAAAACGTTGGCGGGGGAGAAAAGACATTTAATTCCTCTGTGATTTTCAGGCCACGGGCTGCGGTTCAAAACCAAGGCAGAGAAGCGGAAAGCTGAAGAAGAAGAAGAAGAAGAAGAAGAAGAGCAGAGGAAGAACATGAGGAAAGAGAGCTCAGGGATGGAACCGAACAGCTGCTCTCCTCAGACAGGTCCAGACTTGAGTCCAGACCTGCAGGCCCAGTCCTCAGCCTAGCTGCTGGCCTGACTGAGACCCTCTCCACATGGACAGAAACAGCTTGTTACTGCGGTCAGAGTTATTTATTGGACAGAGACTTCTGTGAACTGTTTCAGGTACAAACCAACATTCCAGCCRTGCTGCTTTGATGTGAAGCATAAAGAGGAGCACAGAGAAACACTTCTGACTGGAACACATGAAACATAGACTCCAGGATAGTTCAACTGTTGAAACTGAAAACAGTTTTCATCCAGGTGTGTGTATGTGGTTGTGTAGGTTCTCTTAGATTTTATAAAAATCCTACTGCAGACATTTTTTTTAATGAGCGCGCTTTGACAGAATGATTGGTTCACTCCAGAAAACATTAGTATTTGATTTGTTTTGTGGCTTTCTGAGACGTTTAGAAGATCTGCTCTCTGTTAACTCTTGCTGCTAATAAAACCAGCTGTGTGTGAATTCGTCCTGATATGAAAAGTCAAACTGTCGTTTAAAAAAAATTTAATTTTCCTTTTTGTCCCCCATCACTGAGGCAGGGCCTTAGAAATGCTCTCCATCCGTCAGTCTGTTACAATTTCAGAAAGATGTAACTTTCACATAGAAAGGCTAAAATACACCAAACTTGGTACGAGTCATCCATGTTGTATGCCCGACCATACCATGTGGTCATATGACATCATCAAATCCCCGCCCCTCTGACAACAGGAAGTGACCTTTTTTGGCTTGGAAAGCTCCATCTCTGATTATCTTGACCTAATCAACACATTGCGTCAGAACACAAAGAACTTCATCTCATTTGCCTTCAAGCACAAAGACGTTTTCGTGAAAGGCATGGTCATGGCTGTGCAGCGAAGTCAAACGTTACGCTGTTGACAAACGTTTGGCTCTAAATTCTACATATTTCAGCCAATCAGCATCAAATTCATTTTGGTCGATCCTAATCCACCCCTCTACAGGAATGCAGTCTTGTAGACATCACACAGTTGACATATGTTTGTAAATCACACACACACATACACGATCCAATCTGAACCAAATTTTGTGTGCATTATAAGGGAAACCTGCTMAACATGTTTGTGTAGTAGTTTGACAAAATCACTGGCCTACCATCTTTTCATTTTATGAGATTATTTAAAGGGATCCATGATTAGTTGTAACAGAATTTATTTGATGAACATTTACTTTGACTGTAAAATAAAAACTAAAAATATTGTAGGTTAGTTATGTAAATTTTTAAAAATATATTTTAACATGGACAGAGGCATTTTATTTACATGCAAAGCATTCTGGGTAAATGATGAYGTGGATAGGTYCTYGGTGCGAGGCTGCTAGCGAGCTATATCCACCCTGAAGGTTAATCTTGGWCAATATCTGATGATCGACTCTTTTAAATGAAACCAGAGAGCGTTGACAGAGAGGAGAAGGTAGAAATGACTCAGCCTGTAACTGAAAATATGGATGGAGGACAACAGAGCTGCTTCATGGAAGAAGAACCTCAGCTTAGCCTATTAGCTTTGCGCTAGCACAGACGCCATATTGCCTTATATGTATTAGCTCAGTGCTAGCATGAAAAACAAACTAAAAAGCTAAACTGTTGTCCTCCATCCATATTTTCAGTTACAGGCTGAGTCATTTCTACCGTCTCCTCTCTGTCAACGCTCTCTGGTTTCATTTAAAAGAGTCGATCATCAGATATTGTCCAAGATTAACCTTCAGGGTGGATATAGCTCGCTAGCAGCCTCGCACCGAGGACCTAGTTGATGTCATCATTTACCCAGAATGCTTTGCATGTAAATAAAATGGCCCCATCCATGTAAACCTTTAGTTTAAAAATGATAAAAACTGAACAGTCTACAATATTTTTATAATCTTTATTTTACAGTTAAAATATATGTTTATCAAATAAAGTTACAACTAATCATGGATCCCTTTAAAGAATGAAGGCCTGTGATGAGCAGTTGGTCACTACTGAATGGCGACGGGGGACATCAGCAACGTTTGGCATCAAGTTCTATCTTGTAATATCACACTTTATTTCTTATTTGCAGTCACAGCTTTGTTTAAGTTGGTCTATTTTTTTCACTGATCGTTTGTGCCTTTGGATGATAACTTCCTGTACAGGTATGACTGTAAACACAAGAAGGTGAGGTGGCACCTCTGGCAACTGAATTCTTTTAAGAAACACTTGTTATAATTGTTTGTATAAACTGGAAATCAGACTAGTCCAAAAAATACTTTGCATATTTCCAAGAGTTCATACCAGTATAAAACATTTAAGAGCAAACTGGTTGCAGGATTCCTGTTTTAAAGACTTTATCCAGAAGAGTCAAAGCTGTCGTAGCTGCAAACACCTCATTAAACCCATTAAGAATTTAATGTCACTGTAGTTTATATGTGTATAAATACTTTTGGCAGTATAGTGTATCTGATAAACCAGGGATGTCCAAAGTGTGGCCTGGGGGCCATTTGTGGCCTCAGAACTGATTTTGTGTGGCCCCTGACTTCAGTTCAAAAATTATACAAATTATTTTACACACAGCTGTTTGATGTGGATGGAGACTTTCTATTTATTATTAGGGCAAATTTATCACAAAGTAAAATCTTATAACAAATGTTGGCAACAGTACCAATTATTTGTCTTTAAATAACCAGACTCGTAGCTTTTTCCGCATCTATATARTGACTTCTACTGAAAAGCTGATTTTGCTGYACTCCAATCTGCTTTAACTTCATTTATTAAATTAGTTTGAATACAGCAAGCATTTTCAACAAGAGTACCTACATCCTGATTTTATTGATCAGAATTAACTAAATTGGGTTATTTTTTCCCCAATTGAAACC